CATACATACATACATACACACATACATACGTACGTACTACGTACATACATAAGTACAAACAAACAAGCCTACATACATACATGCATGCATACATGCATGTATGCATGCATCCATCCATCCTTCCGTCCGGGCTATGAGGCTCTAGGGCTATGAGGCTACAGGGCTATAAGGTTCTAGGGCTAGAGGGCTATAGGGCTATAGATAGGGCTACGGGGCTATAGGACTATAGGGCTATAGGGCTATAGGCATATCGGGCTATCAGGTTATAGGCTATAGGGCTATAGGGCTATAGGCATATCGGGCTATCAGGTTATAGGCCAATCATGTAGGACCATATGGCTATAAGGCTATAGAGATATAGGGCTATAGGGCTATACGGCTATAGGGCTATAGGGCTACAGGGCTACAGGGCTACAGGCTATAGGGCTACATGGCTATAAGGCTATAAGGCTATAAGGCTACCGGGCACCCGGGCACCCGGGCACCCGGGCACCCGGGCACCCCCGGGCACCCGGGCACCTGGGCGTGCGGCGAGTATCGGCGGCAAACCTAACCTAACCATATGAATCCACTAGGACCCCTACAGAGGCAAGCTCTGATTGAGGAACATACATGCATGCATGCATCCATGCATGCATACATGCAGACATACACACATACAGTACGTATGGCGCACGCACGTACAAACATGCATGCATACATGCATACACACATGCATTACATACGTTCCTTACATTACATGAATGCCTACATATGTAGAGACCTGCATGCATGCATGCACACATACATGCATGCATGCTTACATAAATGCATGCATACATGCATGCATACAAATGCACTTAACCACATACAGACAGACAGACAGACAGACAGACAGACAGACAGACAACTATACAAACATACATACATACATACATACATAAATAGCAGTATGCATGCATACATACATACATATAAACGAACAAACCTACATACATGCATGCGTACGTACAGGCATACCTACAAACCTGCATACCTGCATACACACATAGATACAGCCATGCATACACACACACCCCTATATACAGACATACGCACGTACATACATACATACATGCATTCATACATACATGCATATATGCATACATGCATACATATATATATATATATATACTTATAAAAGCACACGCGTACACACGTAAGCGTATACAGGCATGCATGCATACACACATACATGCGTGCGTACATGAATGCATGCATACATAGATACATGCATGCATACATACACACATACACACAGACAGACAGGTTGACAGGCAGACAGATATACACTCATAGATACATGTATACATACATACATGCATGCATACATAAGTACAGAAGTACATACGTACATACGTACCTACGTACGTACATACGTATGTACGTACGTACGTAATTACAGGCATGCATGCATGCATACATACACACTCATACACACATGCATGCATGCATGCATGCATGCACACATACATACATGCATGCACACATGCACACATACATTCATGCATGCATGCATGCATACATACACACATACTTCCGTGCCTGTAGATACATGCATGCCTTATGTACACACAGGCCTCATGTGCATACACAAATGCCTGCACACACATGCCTTGTGCACACGCACGCACACACACACACACACACACACACACACACACACACACACACACACACACACACGCACACACACACACACACACACACACACACGCACACACACACACACACGAAGGGCGGTACCGCACCGAATCTGCCGCTCTCGGCGGCGCCGCAAGGGGGGTGGCGAGAGGGCAGCGGCCATCCAAGGAGGCCGAGGGGCCTCTGAGGAGGCAGGGGCCGTCTCAGAAGGCCCCCCAGGACTTCCAGGAAGGCTTCTTGGAAGCCAGGCGGGCTTCTCAAAAGCCCCGCCGCCTTCTCACAGGCCCCGCCGCCTTCTCAAGGCCCACCAACCCTCGCGCCAACCCCCTGTGGGCGCCGCCAACGATGGATCTTCTCAAGGATGGGCCTGTCGCAAGAGCGTAGACAGGCACTCTTCGGCTGCTCAAAGATCGGGCCCTGAGGGATAGGGCCCCGAGGAAGAGAACCTCAGACGGTGAAGGCTCAGCTTGTGATCCATTTCCTAACCTTAGGGCCCCAGCCCTCAGGGCCCCGCCTATGAGCAGCCGACCACTATGCTGGAGCCCCTCCTACGCCCAGCTGCCGCCGCAGAACAGCATGCGCTTCAAGTGTGCTCGGGAGCTCTGCACCGGCTGCTAGAGGTCTCCCAGATGGGGTCGGAGCAGATGGGGTCGGAAGATCGCGCCACGATGCATCGTCGATGCATCGGCGATGCATCGTCGATGAACCAGCGACATCCGCGATGCATCGGCGACGTCGGCGTGGAGAAAATCGGGCTCCACATCGAGCCGCATCCCCGATGCATCGGCGATGCGGCGCGACCCTCCGACCCCATCTACGCGGGCCCCATCCGGGAGGCCTAGGAGAACAGCGTCCGCTTCCCGCGTGCGCTGGAGCTCTGCACAGGCTTCGCCGTCAGGAACCTGGCCGTCATCGGGTGAGCGTCGCCGCTGCCCAGCTGCTCGATCAGTGCACGACGAGGCCTGCTGCTCGGGGACGTGCTGCAGCAGCTCTGCCATGCAACACTCCGCAGAGAAGGAACCGGCAACGACATCCACACAAATGCTCGGAGGGCCGGCGCGGACTTCTTGTGCCAGAGCCGGATGTTCATTCCAGCTTCCAGGGCTCGAGCTACACGGTGTCTTGACAATTCCGTGGACCTTTTCTTTTTAATGTCGTTACGCGGCGAAGGCGGAACGAAGACAGAACGAAAGAAAACGAAAACAAAACGAAAACGGAAAACACTGTTCGGCCCGAGCCCTGCCAGCTTCCCTGTGGTTCGGGACGATCGCGCGGAAGGCTGGTGGTCCGTCATCGAGAGCACCGATCTCGCGCACAGACATGCGATGCTCCATGACCTCGCATTCCCCCTCCTTCTCGTCTACCTGAAGGAGGAGGATACGCAGAAGGCACCTATACACCACCACCACCAACACCACCACCCATACGCCACGCCCTCCTCGCTTGGCCAGGAGGGCGCATACACAGCTCCTGCGTTCAGGATGGGCCTGGCCAGGGAGCAGTGGATCTGTATATATGTACATATATATATATATACAAGACTGCAGTGGCGCTTCGCGCCATGCACCTTGGTCCTTGAAGTTTGGCATGCAGGCAAAATAGCAGGAAGGTCAAGCCGACAATTTAGCGATAACTCCTGGTTGCCTTTTCTGGCATCGCCGCTATAATAATGTTATTCGTTATCCTTCCTCCATGCTTATTTTTCCTAATTTTCGCCATGCTCTGCGCAGTCTCCCCATCCTCCTCAGCTATTTTTTGCGGAGGCTCCTCCTTGAAGAGCCTCTAGGGGCCTCACAAAAGTTGTTTCAGGCTTTCTTAAGGCCTTCTGGAGACCTCCTGGGCGTATTCTGGGGGCCTCGGGGGGCTTCCTCGGGCCACCCGGCCTACAACCGCGGTCTCCCTGAACGACCGAATCACGATTTGGAATTCTTCGGAGGGTGTCTTTGGGCCATCTTGGGCCGCCATGGTGCCGTTTTGGGGCTCTCTTGGACTGCCTGGAAGCCCTTTCGGATGGTTGTGGGGCGATTTTGGAGCCTCCCAGGCGGCTTCGGACGCCCAGAAGACCGCCGTCTTGGAGCGTCGGGAAGCCGAAAAGAGAACCCTAAAATGAACCAAAAACCGACAGAAAATCAATGACTTTTGCCTCGGGGGGCCTTCTTGGGAGTGCTCTTGGAGGCCTCTTTGGAGCTGTCCTGGAGGCCTCTTGGGCCATCTTGAGGTCACGTCGGTCACTCTTGGAGAGAGCTCTTGTGCTGTCTTGGAGGTCTCTGGGACGTCTCCGGTGACCCCCTTGATCGCCCTAGGTGTGCTGGGAAGGCTTGGCAAAACGCCATGTGAGGGGCCCGGTGGCCGCTTCGAGGCCCGTCTGAAGGGTCCCAAAGACCCAGATCCTGGGAGTCCGGTTTTGGGGGGGGGGTGACGGGTTTTCCCCCACCCGGGCTTATAGAAACATAGGAAGAAGAATATAAACATACATACATATATATATATATATATATATATATATATATATATACATAAATATACATACATATAGAGATTTCGCCGCCCGACCCCGGCAGGCCCGGCGCCGCGGCGGGCCCCGCGCGCGCGCACGCGCGGCACGCCGAGCGCGCCGCCCAGTTGCGGGCCCCGCACGCCCGGCAGGCCCAGGGCGCGCCCTCGGCCGCCGCGCGCGCGGCGGCCGCGGGGGCCGGGGCGGGCGCGGCGTCGGGGTCGGCCTGTGAGGGGGCCACGTGCGAGTCCCTACCCCTGCCCCCCACGATCTCTGAGGGGGAGGGTGGGGCTCACTTCGTTCGGGGGAGCTCCCGAGCGAAGTGAACCCCACCCTCCCCCCCCCCCAGAAGTCGTGGGGGGTAGTGGTGGGGTTCGCATGTGGCCCCCTACCTGTGGAGCGGGCGGGGCGTCCTCGCCAGTGCTCGGCGCGGGCGGCGCGCGCGCCGCGGGCGCGCGCGCGTGGTCGCCGCCGCTCTCGGAGCGCGAAGCGCGCCAGGCGCGGAGGAGGCTCATCTCGAACTCGGCGAGGTAGGCGCCGAGGGCGACGACGCTGCGACCGAGGCCCTTCTCGTACCAGGCGATGCCGAGCACCAGCCTTCGGGGAGCTACTGACCCGGGTCACTGCACACCCGGGCCAGTCGGGCTTCGCGGGATCCTGCAGGATCCTACACGCACACCTGGGTCAATGCGGCCCTGGCTCTGCAGGATCCTGCCAGGTCCGGCGCCCTGGCCGACCCCCGTTTGCATTGACCCCCGTCCCTCGAGCCCCGAAGCCTCACGACGCTCAGCCTGCCGTCGTGGGCGAAGTCGAGGAACTGCATGTGCTCGGGCACCAGTGCGCAGTAGGCCATTCGCCGGCCCCTTGGGCACAGGCGTGGGAGATGTCTGCCCTTCCCCCGTGCCCCTCCCCTCGGGGCCGATTGTCGCGATCGACGGCCTTCACGGCGGCTCCGGGGTAGTCAGAACGAGTTCGCGACGGCCTTCGAGGGACGGACGAGGCACCCAAATGCCTCAGGAGGGCCCTGGAAAGCAGCCAGGACACAGCTCGGGAGACCCCAAGGGAGGCCTGCGACACTGAGCACGTATTGAAGACAGCCATACCCACCCACGCCTCCCTTCCTCCGCCTGCCTCGACCTCGTCGAAACCTGTTGCTTCCTCACCCACTGCCTTCACCTCATCCTCCTGCTCGCTTGATCATCTTCTCCAAGGGCTCCCAACTTCGCGCTTCGCGCTCCGCGAAGCGCGAAGCGCGAATAACTTCGCGCTCTCGCGCCGCCCCCCCAAAGGGAGAAAAGGAGGACGAGGAGGAGGGGGAGAAGGAACGAGGACCGCGAAGCGCGAACCGCGAATAACTTCGCGCCCTCGTGGGAGCCCTTGCTTCTCCGTCATGCGGTCGCTCGCCATCGCTCGGACGTCCGTTCCCCGTGCATGCGCCGGCTTCCTGCGCGTATCTTTGCAAGGCGAGCAGACATGCTCCTCGATGGTCCTTGCCGAGAAAAAAATATGCACACGTCCGAACGCTGCCGAGGTCGAGAACTTGTCGGGGATCTTCTGATTCGAGAGAGCGTGATCCACCGCCGCTTCACCGTGGAAAATTCCCCCCCCTCTTCCTCCGGAACCCGGGGGTCCCCCCCCCCACCCTGCCGAAAATCCCCCCCCTGCTGGACCCCCCCCCTTCCCCCCTGCAAAATTCCCCCAACTCCCCTCCCCCCCCCTCCGGAAAACTGGAGGGGTCACGACGGGTTCGACCCCCCCCCCTCCGGAAAACCGGGGGGGGTCACTACTGGTTCGAACCCCTCCCCCCCCCCAATAGAAAACCAGAGGGAGGTCACTGCTGGTTCGAATCCCTCCCCCCCCAACAAAAAAAACAGAGGGGGGTCACTACCGCCTCGAACCCCCTCCCCCCCCCCTCCAGAAAACCGAGGGGGGGGGTCACTATCGATTCGAACCCCCTCCCACCCCCCCACGCTCACCGCCAGCAAACGACTCCCGGGTCCCTACCACCGTCCGCACCACATCCCCCACTGCTGTTCCCAGCACCTCTGTCCTCACCACCACTGCCCCCACTGTTCCCACCACCGTCGCCACTTTCCCCACCAGTGCCCCCACCACTGTCGCACTGTCCCCACTGTCCCCACCACTGTTCCCACCACGGTCCCACTCTCCCCACTTTCTCCACGGCCCCAACCACTGTCCCACTGTCCCCATTGTCCCACTGTCCCACTGTCCCCGCCGCTGTCCCACTGAGCTGTCCCACTGTTCCCACCACTGTCCCCACTGTCCCCACCACTGTCCCCACTGTACCTCTGTCCCATTGTCCCACCGCCGTCCTCGCCACCGCCCTCACCCCTGTCCCCACCACCACTGTACCCTCCACTGTCCCATTGTTTCCACCACATTCCCACTGTCCCCACACCACTGTCCCCACACCACTGTCCCCACCACCACCGTCCCCACCACTGTCCCACCGTCCCCACTGTTCCCACCATTGTCCCCGCTGTCCCCACCAGTGCCTCCACCAGTGTCTCACTGTCCCCACTCTCCCCACCATTGTCCCACCACGGTCCCCTACTCTCCCCACTTTCCCCACGGTCCCAACCACTTTCCCACTGTCCCCACTGCACCCACCACTGTCCCACTACCCCCGCCTCTGCCCCACTGTTGCGCCACCGTGCCCACTGTCCCCATCACAGTCCCACTGTCCCCACTGTCCCCACCACTTTCCCAACTGTACTGCTGTCCCACCGCTGTCCTCACCACCGCCTTCACCACTGTCCCCACCAGTCCCCACCACTGTCCCACTGTCCCCACCACTGTCCCGTTGTCCCCTCACCACTGTCCCCACCACCACCGTCCCCGCCACTGTCCGCACACTGTCCCCGCACCGCTGTCCCCACCACCACCGTTTCCACCACTGTCCCAGCATCCCCGCCATTGTCCAACTGTCCCGAGGAGCGGGAATCGTTTGCCGGCAGCGAGGGGGGGGGGGGGGTCAAACCGGTAGTGACAACCCCGGTGTTCGAGAGGGGGGGGGTCGAACCCGTAGTGACCCCCCTTTTCATGATGGACTGCTTCGTCGGGTGCGGCCTTATAAGTAGTTATAGGTTAGGTAAGTGGTTCTATGTTAGGGAGGCTTGGATGAGTAGGATTGGTTAGGAACGCCTATAAGTTTTTTTTATAGGAATGCCGATAGTGATGGTGCCCCATAGCCCCCCCCCCCCCCCTATGTTTCACTATAGGATCTATAGGAGATTACAGTGTCCTATCATCCGCAACACTTGGAATCCCTAAACTTATGTATTGTATATCTATTTTTATGTGTTTTATTATTTTTCGCTTTTTTTTATTTTTCACTATTCTCACTATTTATCACTATTTATCACTACTTCTCACTATTTTTCATTATTTTTAACTATGTTTTCACTTTTCCATTACTTTTCCCCTCCTCCTCCTCCTCTTCCTCGTCCCCCTCCTCCTCCTCCTCCTCCTCCTCCTCCTCCTCCTCCGCCTCCTCCTCCTCCTCTGCCCCCTCCTCCCCTTCCTCCTCGGCGCCCCTCTTGGGGCCTCGGCGCCCCCTTGGTGCTGGCGCCCCTGGGCCTCGGCACCCCCAAATCCGAAGCTCCGAAGCTCCTCCCATTCCCTTCCTCCTCCTCCTCTTACCTCGCCCCCTCTCCTCCTCCGACCCCTCCCTCCTCTATCCTCTTTCCCCTCCTCCTCCCCCTCCTCCTCCCCCCCTCCTACTTCTCCTCCTCCTACTTCTCCTCCTCTATCATCATTCCCCTCCTCCTCCTCCCCTTCCTCCTCCGCTCGTCCCCGCGACCCTCGTCCTCCCTCTCCCCCTCTTTCTCTTCTCACCCCCCCTCCTCCCTGTCCTCTTTGCCGCTCTCCTCCTCCCCCGCCCCTCCTCCTCCTCCCCCATCCCGCCCCCCCCCCCCCCCCTTCCCGTTGGCAGCAGGCTGGATGTTAGCTGGGTGTTGTCTGGGTGTTGTTTTCATGTTGATCGTTGTTGCTTGTTTGTTGTGTCATGGTGTTGTTTATGTTGTTGTTGCGTTTGTGTTGTCTTGTAGGCCGGGCGCCAGACAACACCAGACAACGCAAAAACAACATACAACGACACAAGAAAACAACAAAAAACAACATGTTGCGTTTTGTTGTTTTTGTGTTGTTTTATGTTGTTGTTTGTTGTTGTTGCTGTTTTTTTTTGTGTTGTTGTTTTTTGTTGCCTGGTGTTGTCTTCTCTTTTTCAGTTTTTTTCCGTCTCTCCGTGTTTTTTTCTTCTAACTACTGTTACCCCCCCCCCCCCCCCCCCCCCCGCACCTCCGTTCACCTCCCTCATTTCCGTTTCCTCCTCCCTCCTCATCGGGCAACCGCTTTGCGTTCTGCTCACTTCCCTCTCCTGCCGTCCCATTTATGCTCCTCAGCGCCCAACGGCTTTGTCATGGGAGGAGGATCAGGAGGAGGAGGAGGAGGAGAAGAGGAGGAGGAGGTAGGAGAAAGGAGGGAGGAGGAGTGAGGTTGAGGATGAGGAGGAATTAGGTAGGAGGAGGAGGAGGAGGAGGAGGAGGGGGCGCAACGTTCTGGGCGTGATAAAAAACGAAAGTTCTGAAGCGGCCAAACCGCTGCACTGTACAACTTGCTATGTAAAAGCGGTCTGCCGCTGCGGAAAGTCAGGAGAGAAAGGAAGAGAAGCAAGCTGATTTGTGATTTTTCTTAGACTTGGCTATTTTTCATTTTCACTATTTGTTTCACTATTTTTCACTATTTTCACTATTTAACACTATTGTTTTCACTATTTTTCACTATTTGTCACTATTTTTCCTATTTTTAAGTGCATGTTGATAGGATCCTATAGTGCACAATAGCTATATATAGTGTTTTTAGAACCCGCACCCAACAAAAAGGGGGGGGAGAGGGGTTCGAACCGGTAGGGACGTGACCCCCTCCGGGTTTCGAGGGGGGGTACGGGTTGGGAACCCCCAGTGACACCCTCCCGGTTTTCCGCCAGCAGCGGTAGAACACTCTCTTTCTCTGACCCGGGTCAATCCAGACCCGGGTCAGTCAGACCTTGCAATGTCCTGTGAGATCCTGCAAGACCCTGCACCCAAACCCGGGCCAATGCGAAGGACCCTGCAAAACCCTGCAGGATCCTGCACCCAAACCTGGGCAAATGCGACCCTGGCCCTGCAGAATCCTGCAAGATCGGGCGCAATGGCCGAGACCCCGGCTTGCATTGACCCCCGCCTCAAGGCTCCCGAACTTTTGCTCAGCGTGCCGTGGCGGCGGCCCCGGCGACACGCCGTCCCGCGCAGGCTGACAGCACGTCGCTCCGCTCCGCGGCACGAAGGGGGGGGGCACTGGGACGGGCTCGGGCCGTGGACGACCCTGGAG